TATAAATCTTCACCTCCAGACCATTCCGGAACTCCTCGTTACACCCGGGATCTCATCCGGGACTCCAAACAACATTCGGTAATCACATACAAGTCTTCCTAATAACCCTAGCGTCACCAAACCTTAAGTGTGTAGACCCTACGGGTTCGGGAGACACGCAGACATGACCGAGACGGCTCTCCGGTCAATAACCAACAGCGGGATCTGGATACCCATGTTGATGTTGGCTCCCACATGCTCCTCGATGATCTCATCGGATGAACCACGATGTCGAGGATTCAATCAACCCCGTATACAATTCCCTTTGTCAAACGGTACGTTACTTGCCCGAGACTCGATCGTCGGTATCCCAATACCTCGTTCAGTCTTGTTACCGGCAAGTCACTTTACTCGTACCGTAATGCATGATCCCATGACCAAACACTTGGTCACTTTGAGCTCATTATGATGATGCATTACCGAGTGGGCCCAGAGATACCTCTCCGTCACACGGAGTGACAAATCCTAGTCTCGATCTGTGTCAACCCAACAGACACTTTCGGAGATACCTGTAGTGCACCTTTATAGTCACCCAGTTACTTTGTGACGTTTGGTACACCCAGATCACTCCTATGGTATCCGGGAGTTACACGATCTCATGGTCTAAGGAAAAGATACTTGACATTGGAAAAGCTCTAGCAAAACAAACTACACGATCTTGTGCTATGCTTAGGATTTGGGTCTTGTCCATCACATCATTCTCCTAATGATGTGATCCCATTATCAACGACATCTAATGTCCATAGTCAGGAAACCATGACTATCTGTTGATCAACGAGCTAGTCAACTAGAGGCTTACTAGGGACATATTATGGTCTATGTATTCACACGTGTATTACGATTTTCGGATAATACAATTATAGCATGAATAAAGACAATTATCATGAACAAGGAAGTATAATAATAATCCTTTTATTATTGCCTCTAGGGCATATTTCCAATACATGCGGGCCATGAGTATTCTGGAAAAAAATAGAGTTTTTATACTCCCTCATGATGAAGCAATCCTTCCACAGATGACTGGTGGGCTTCTCTTGCGTACCGTGCTTTGGGCAAGGTTGATTCATCATGGCCTCAAGGTTGAACTTCGACCCTCCAAACCGGGGCGTTGATGCTTTCCCCTTACGACGCTGATTATTGTGTTGCGCATTGGTGTTAGCCACAAAGTCCACACTGCTGTCAGCCTTGCGCTTACAGTTGCCACCTTAACTCGTTGTATTATGTTGTCCCTTTGCATTGCCACTCTTCTTCCTCTTGCTGACTTTCTCCTCATCAGACTCAGGGTCTTTAGTACTATCAGTATCGGCATATTTGACGAGAGCCTCCATGAGCTCCCCCATATCATTATAGTTGCGCTTAAGCCGCCCCAGCTTCTGTTTAAGAGGAAGAAAACGACAATTCTTTTCTAGCATCAGGACGGCTGAAACGGCGTTGATACTGTCTGATGAATGGATAACGGCCGAGATCTGGCGTACTCAATTGGTTGTTGACTCGCCTTCTCCATGGACACAAGAGTCTAAGTCTAGAATCAACATAGGTTGCTTTCATGTGTCTTTAAAATTTTGAATAAAACGCACTTTCGGCTCGGCCCATGATCTGACGGAGTTAGGGGACAATCCTTTCAGCCAAGTGCGTGCCGGCCCATCCAACATCATGGTGAAGTACTTAGCACATGTAGCATCGCTAACATCCGGCATCTCCATAGCCATCTCATAACTCTCAATCCAAGCTTCCGGGGGTTGATCCGCCGTGTAATTAGGCACTTCGCGAGGGCCCTTGATATCCTTAGGCAAGCGCTCGTTACGTAGAGCCGGCACTAAACATGGCACTCCAAGGGTTTGGGAGGTCACACCTTCTTCCAGAGACACCGATGGGTAAGCCGGAGATTGTTTCTAAGCCGCCAGCTCAGCCTCACGCCACGCTCTGCCCTAGTCCACCAAAGCCTAAGCATCATTACCAGCGTGCGGCGGGTCAGGCCTACGAGGCTGGTTGTGGTGCCGCTCACTGATCGACACCGTTGGCGAATCAATGTGCCTACTATAACTCTGGCTTGGACGTGGGGTTGAATGAATCCGTTCACGACTCTATGAATAAGCCGCCTGTTGAGCCACTGCCGTCTGAACAAGCTCTCCGGCCCGCCGTATCTCCATCGCAGCTGGTGACTCATCTTGAATAGGGAGAGCCGCCAATCGGGTGGTCGTGGCGATCATATTGTCCAGAGATTTAGAATAATGGCCCGGGGGCGTCGGAACATGCTGAGGAGGGGTCAAGTTCAAATGCGGGTGGTATGCAGCACGTGGCTGAACCGGTGCTCCAGCTGCCGGTGCCTCAATGGCCCGGTCCGCAACGGGCAGGTTACTAGTTCCTGCCCCAGGTGTATTGAAAAGGTTTCTTGCATCGTACACTGGAGGTAAACGACTCTGATGCCTTTTGTTAAAGACATCATTTGATGCATTCTGGTCCAAGCTCAAACAAAAAAAATCGACTTGAATCCACTCTGCTTCCCTCTCCAAGGCGGCTCGTTCCATCGCCATCCGGGTGTTCTCAGCGTTAAGATCCTCCTTAGCTTGAGCTATCTCAGCACGTAACTTTGCAACGTCCATACTATGTTGCGCTTGGTTCACCGGGGTTACCTCCACCGTCAGCAACGTTGATAAGCCTCCAACAGTTCAGATAAAACTTGAGCCGGCGGGCGCACAGGGCCTCCTGCCCCGGCTGCTGTAGCAGTCGTTGAACCGGAGATCATTGCTGCCGCAGTCGAAGAATTCTGCACCGGCTGCGTACCGGCCATGAATATCGCAACCCGGTTTGGCGGCTCATAGGGGTCCGGAATACTGTCGCCATCGGAACAACCCCCAAGCCTATCATACTGCATTTGATACATATAGGAATTGGTCTCGCCGGTTGAAGACTCATCGCCTGAGTAGACGGCCGTCTCTCCACTGGACACAGATCCTCCTTCCAGATCCACTCCTTGAGTAAAGCCAACAAAGACACACTTCGGGGCGGCTTGAATCTTGGCGGGTCGCGCGCGCTGAGCCGTTTCGACAATGTCGGTGCAGGTGTACGGCTCAGCTTCCTACTCGTCGATCTTGCCGATGAAGACATGAATTCCGTCGAAGGGGACCCGGTACCCATACTCGATTGAGCTGGCCTCGGGGGCCCAGCCCGCGTCATCGATGTAGAGCTTGCTGCGGCGACTCTTAGTCATCCGGCCTACAGTGTATCCCTTAATCCCTGCGAAGTTGCCCTTCAAGAACTCGAAACCACCGTGCTCTGGCCCCACGGTGGGCGCCAACTGTCGTGGACTTAACATGGCAGATGTCCTAGCAAGAGGACTTAGGTGTGGAGCCATCGCTGCTAGGTTAGCTTGAAGGGGTTAAAAAGGGACAAAGGACACAAAGAGTTTTACCCAGGTTCGGCCCCTCTCAATGAGGTAAAAGCCTACTCCTGCTTTAGGTTGTATTGCTTGGGTTTTGATTATCAGGGAGCGAATATGCTTGACCTAGTTCTCGATCTGTTGTTTCTTATGTTAACCAGCCGCCGGGTCTCAGCTTTATATACATAGGTTGAGGCCAGGCGGCTTACAGAGTCCCGGCCGGCTCACACAACGTGTCCAGCTCGGTTTCTAACAATACTTGCTTTACATAACAAGTTAAACACATGTCGGCTCATCCCTTTGGGCCCTAAGTCGCCTCTGGGTCTTGGGCCTTCAATAAGCTTGGTTCATGAACTGCCATCTTCACATCTTGGGCTTCTTCATCTTGAGCCGCCCGTAGCATGACTCGGCCCCTCCTGGGCGGGTCATACCTAGTAGTTATATCCCCAACAAGTTGCAAATGATGTTAAAGGGAAGCAGAAGTTGCATGGAGTTAATATGAAGTATACTAGCCCGCCTCCCCATGTTGATGTGGCTGGTTGGATTAAGCCGCCTGAGAATCATAGAAAAATTAATGTTGACGCCTCTTTCAATGCAGCCACAGGATTGGCCGTGCTGGGAGCGGCTGGCAATGATAGTTTTAGTGATATTGTCTTCTGAACGGGTTGTATTTTTCATGGATGCTGAAATGCAGAGGAATCTAAAGTCCAGGCCCTATCTTTTGGCCTCAACCCGGCTCATAAACTGGATTTGATCCAGGTGCAGTTGGAGACCGATTGCATCGATGTGGTGGCCGTTGTGAGTGGTAGTAATGTTAGCAGGGCCAGCTGGTGGGCTTGCTATGAGAATTCTAAGGATATGATCAAGGAGTTTGGAGCTTGTTTTGTTTCCAAAGTCCATAGGGAGAGCAATGTGGACGCGCATGAGCTTGCTGCCTATGCTAGAGTGAATGGGGATTTTTCCTTTTGTTAGTTGATGTGCCACATGTTTTGAAACATGTAATTGCTGCTGATTGTAACCTAGGTGTGTTGATATACATGAAGCTCTCCTTATCCTCAAAAAACAAAATCTTGTAATTTCTTGGGATGATGACCCTCCGCATTTTCCTATATGTGTTTGCCAGCGGTGTAACAATTATTTGAATTGAGTAAAGTGTGCCACAAGTTGAAAATAAAATTTGTAGAAATACTCATTTGAGACACACAAATTGAAACTAGATTCAGATAAGTAGGTGCATAATTATACAAGTGCCCACAACATTTTTTTGAACATACAAGTGCCTTATACTTAATTATAGAAATGCTACCACTAGATTATTGAGAGGCAGGATTGATGGTAGTGGTGGTAGTTGGACACTGGGTCCAGGTGGATGGCCCCACGCAGACGCACGGACCAACTCATTCCCTTCCTTCCATCATCGCTGTCCGTCCGTCTGGTGTAGCATTTCTGGTTTCTTTCTTTCTTTCTTTCCAGCGAAGCGAAAAATTGCAATTTGCAGCATAGCATTTGGGAAAGTGAATTGCACGTCTTGATCATTGATCAAACAAATTCCAATCCACCCGCTCTCTGCCTCGGATCATCCATGGATCATCGCCGCTGCCATCACCACGCCGGAGAATTCGGTCAGTAACCTCCTCCTCCTTCTCTTCTCTGTATCAGCAAGCAAGCAAGCAACCGCAGACCTGAATGAGTATGAATCAATGAATCAACCAATCGATCGATCGATCATTCGCAGTGGCGGACGTGGTGCTGTGGCGCCGAGGCCGGGCCGACCTTAGCGCGCTGCTGCTGGCGGCCGCCGTCGCCTCCTGGATCCTCTTCTTCCACGGCGCCTCGGGTTACACGGCCGTGTCGCTGGCCGCCGACGTGCTGCTCCTGCTGCTGGCGGTGCTGTACGCGTGGTCCAGGGCCGCGCGCCTCCTCGGCCGCCCCGCCCCGCCCATCCCGGACCTGCAGCCGGCGGCGGAGGAGCTCGCCGCGCTGGTCCGCTCCGGCCTCGCCGGCCTCGCCTCCGCCTTCCGCCGCGTCGCGCAGGGCCAGCCCGGCTCCGGGCGCGTCTTCGCCTGCCTCGCCGCCGCCGCCCTGCTCGGCCGCGTCGCGCGCGACCTCCCCACCCTCTGCTACGCAGGCAGGCACCTCCATTCTCTTTGCTCTGCTTTCTTTCTTGTCTCATCTCAACTGAACTGAGTAGTATCTTTCTTTCTTGAGAATCCGACGCCATGGTTGTGGCGGACTGTAATTGGATTGCCTTTGTGGCAGCAGTTGTGGTGGGCGGGCTGACGATCCCGGCGGTGTACCAGAGGTTGAGCATGGAGAGGTACATGAGGCTGGCGTCGCTCAACCTCTACAGATACGAGGTCTTGTACCAGAGCTTCTCCCTCACCTGCTACCTCAGCGCCAGGGACTACCTCGTCGAGCTGCTCAAGGAACCATGACCTTGATTCATTCCTTCATGAGCGATGATGGATGATGCGACATCGATGAGCTTCTTTCTGCCTGCACACCTCTCAGATTGTTTTTCGATTCATGAGTGATGATGGATGATGGATGTTTTTTGATCCACGATTGTTTTTCCAGAGTGTGCCTGCTTAGATAGATTGATTGATTGGGTTGCTGCTGCTTAGGGCTGTTAGTTTGTGAGGTTGCTCGCTCGCTCTCAGTTTTTCTACATAGATAGATGCAGGAAATGGTTGTGTCTGTGATGTGATGAACTATTTATGGCTGGAGATTGTCATAAATAATTTGGTTGATTGATTTGGTTGGCTGTTGGCGTCTGAATGTATCTAATTTGATGGCTACCATAATTGTTTCGTTTGTTTACGTTGTTTTTTTGGTCACTCTGCTTGCATGCTCTGCTCTGGATGAGATTGAGATGCATGAATTGCTGTCGACTTGCAGTTTGCACTGCATTTTCTTAAGCTGTGATGAAGCTGGAGATTAATTTGGTACAACAAACACCAATCATATCAGGCTACAAACTGAAGAAAACACCTTCATCTGCACCAAACCAAACCCACCTGTATCTCTCTCTATATGTACCAACCTAGTTGCTTACTGATGATTCATCCAACTCAAGATTCTTCGATCTGCAACAACTTTCTTTACATCCACAGTTTGCAAACAAAAAACCAAACATCAACACCATACCATACCCTACTCATCAGGATACCAAATTCACAACTGCAAGCAAATTATCACCAAGTCAGGATGGAGATAGATACATATGATCCCACAATACATACCATCAGCCATGCATGGTCTAGCTCTAGCTCTAGCTCTAGCTCTAGCTAGCTAGCACATCATCCAATCCAAGCAAGGTTAAGCTAGGTTCAGGTTGGTTGGTTCAACAACGCCAACACCACAAACGGTAACATCCATGGGAACGTTCCCAGCGGCACCCGACACAACGGACCGACTTACGGGCACCCTGGATAACAGCTAAAGTTCCAGGTGCCATCTAGATAGTACATAGATAGATAGGTACTAGTAGGTTTTATTTATACAGACGCACGGTTCAACCTCCACTGACAGAAAGCGGCATCGATCAAGTTCAAGAGCAGCATCAGATCAGCAGAAGAACATGGAGCTCCTCACTTTCTCGTGCAGCCGAGGCAGCTCCGGCACCGGGGCGCTGCCCGCAGACGTGTGGCCCCCTCCCTGGCTCGACGACGTGTCCGACATGTCCTCAAACTTCATGAAGGTGCCCACCTGCGCCGCCGCCAGATGCGCGTACGCTATCGGAGCAGCTGCCAAAACAAAACACACACCAACATAAGCAACCAAGCGCACACATGCGGCATTTGCAAACACAAACACAAACAGCAGCGAGCATGAATGGAGTCTTGAAACATACCTACTGATATCGCCGTCGTGCTCCTCTGGTACCTGAAACAAAGAAAACGCCACACCAACAGGTTCAGACACAACAAGAATGACCGAAGCCTAGACTGGTAGCAACATCATATGATATATAGGCTGTCCACATACACATAGGAGAGCGAGTGCACAAACTCCTGGAGCTCATCCCCACTGAAGCCGATCTCATCATGCAGAACATGGTAATGCGTTGGCCTCGACGTGCCCTGCCACACAAAAAACAGAGCAACTCAAGCACACCCTACCTACTGCTACATTGTGCTAGGGAACCAAAAACAGAGCAGAAAGCAGAGTTTACTACTCACAATCATCCCAGCATGCGCGCACATGTAGAAGTCAAAGTTCTTGGGATGGCACACTTGTTTATCCACCACAGTGCCTACACAATATGACATGGACACTTGCTGTTACAATCTATCGTTTCGTTTCACAGAAGAAAACTGGCATGCAAACCCACGTATAAAAAGCAGTGGACTTCTGAAAGACGTCTGCTTACCAGGAGGAACATTTTCTGGCGAGTTTGTCTGGAAAAACCTGGTATGATGGTTTTTCTGAGCAACAATGACCGTGAACTTGGGCTCCCACTTGTCGTCAAGGCACTTGCATGCCTGCATTGGTTGGTTAAAAGTAGACCAAATGAGTGACGCTGTCCAGCTCCAGCACGGGATAATTACTGTAAGAAGCACAAGTTGGGATCGAATAAATACACTACCTCAATGATCTGCTCAAGCTCAATGTTTATCACCTGAGTAAACTGGCTTTCGCTAACTCCATCCCTGAAAGTAGCATGAGTTATATCCATTTTCAGCAGAGCAACATTTGAGGAACTACAAAAAATTACTGCTATATATTAGCAAATACTCCTAGTAGTTTCACAACTTGGTACCTGAAAATAATAACTTGGTCTGGCTTTCGCTTCCCAGAGCTAGTGTAGAAGTCAATAAGAGATTCCCTGGAAATCCATTCCATTCCATTAGGGGAGCGTCCAACAAAGCACAACATACATACTACAAACACCCACACACAGTTTGGACAATGAACTGGACTCGAGATTGACACGTACCGAATGAGGCCATCATCTTCAGTTCCCCGTGGTTTAAACAGGGAAGCCATCATCTCCTGTTTGGGTGACTGAGTGTGCACTGTTGCTCTGTATTTAGAGATGAGAGGCCACTCACGAGAACTCACCACCTAAACAAAATCCAAAAGCCATAGTTAGTTACAAGCAGTTAGAACAGAAACACTTTGAAGATAAGTAATATCAAGCACCAACAGTAGCATAAATTTGTGGCTTAGCGTTCTGCAGCTTCCAGTCAGTGTTCTAGAACACGATATGCAATTCTAAGATGCTCAAGGACTAATGTGGGCTCAACCTACTGGCCAATATATGCACTTGTTTGTATTCAAAACTGATTGATGACATTTATTATCTAAAAATATGTAAAGTTGATCAATGACAGTCTGTTTATAAGAATGTATCTGAACCGTGGGATTACTCATGGCTCATTTTCCATATCCCAATTTCTAGGGTTATACTTCATCTATGTGGTATATACAACAATAAACACTACTTGAAGGAAACTGTGAACTGGTTTGTTGACAGTTAATAAAAGACAGGAGAGAAGAACATAATGCAACCCTGAATTGCGAGCAAAGTTTAAGAAACAACCCTGAACTACAGAACCATCTACTTTACAACCTCAAACTTCCAAAACCAGACAAAAATCAACAGTCTCCGGTCAAACTGGTTTCATCTCTGTTTTGAGTGGTTTTGACCAGTCAAAAGCCTGGTCAGCATCCCAGTCACCCTGCCACGTCACTTTTGACCGAAAAATTGAAGTGCCCAGAAAAAATTGAAAAAACTCTAAAGAATGAACACCAGTATGATATTCAATCTGTGGAAATTTGATAACTGTTTGTCAAACAGATAAAATATTAGAAGAAAAATGCACATTCAGGAACATTTTGGGTCCAAATTTGGCCAAGAAATGTAAGTTTCCAGAAACTTTTGAAAAAAAATCTCAATCATGAACAATACTATGATATTCAATCTGGGAAAGTTTGAAAATATTTTGCCAAACCGATAAATAACTAGATGATAAATACACAATCAGGACCATTTTGGGTCAAAATTTGGCCAAAAAATGGAAGTTCCCAGAAAGAACAGTTACATAACTTTTGGCCAAAAAATACTGTGAACTGATTTCTTTGACTGTTGGAAAAAAAAGTTAGTCAGCAGGTTAAATTGGGTTACATGAGATTATCAGCGATTTTTTTCCCATCACATGGCCATAAGGAACAGTTACATCATGCATTCATGGTTTGAGGGGCCTAGTTTTGTCAGGACAAATCCACACAAGATAGCATAAAGAAACCTTGCAGAATTGTGAGCAGATACCAACGACAACTCGGGATCCTATCTTCATGTTGAAGATCTAAGACATCATCATCTACGGATGAAACCTGAGCTACTATTCATCAGAGAGTAAAAAATACGTATCCCGCTTACCGCAGCAATGGAAGGCCTGTCAGATTGGCCAGGTTGACCATGCGAGACATCCATGCCCAGGATGATAGTAGGCACCTTCCCCACAATGGGTATTGCACGGGCTGCTTCAATTTGAAGCAGTGTGTTGAGTCCACCGAGCTGGGGTGGAAAGACGAAAGCGACAAGCCTTAGCATACAGACACAGTAGCCCATAAATAAATACAGTTATAAGAAAGAAACCAGGGTTGGTCACGTCAACAAACCTTAGCATTTATCTTGAGTAGCAGATTACTCAAGTACTGGTCATTGACTCTTTGCGGAGCTAGACATTGGGTGACTATGCCGAAATCAGCAAGACACTTCTTCTTCCAAGGACCTGCAGCAGATTCAAGCAAATATATATTATGTATGGTTCCCCAACAGTTGATCATGTTTATGGGGATGGGTAACACAACCAAAAAGAAGATGAACCAACCGTAAACTTCGCAGTTCTTCCTCTCAGGGAGGAGGCACAAAAGAAACAAGGGTGCTCCAGGTAGCTTGGCCTTTATCTGGGCAAACATCTCCTCCACTCTTCGTGCCACCGGAGCTCGTCTCAGTGACGGGCTCTCTTCAATTACAGTGTGAGGGTCCTCATATTCCTGCAAACAAATGAAGTTCAGCAGCAGAACAGAAGAAAAACTAAGAGAATATGTTGTAGAGAAGTGGGAACATACGAGTCCCATTCCAGTCGCGACCCTTTTAAGGTCATGGACAAGACCACGAAGATCACAGCGTGCAGAGAAGTTGACGACGGACCACCTCTTGACAGAGCTGGTCCTAATCAGCTTCTGAAACAAAAAAAGAATCAACAAACAGAAGGGACATTGATAGAAAGACATATTAGAAAGAGAGAGAAATGTCGACCTTCCTCGCAATATTCCAGCGCCCGTTGCGTGCGAAGAACTCTTCACCGTTGCCAGCTTTCAGCTACATGATAGAACGCTTGATTAGATACATATTCTGAAAAACATCGAGCTTTCATTTGGAATATACTAAGCTTGGAAAATTATCACTGGCTAACCTTGGGAG